ATTTCTTGTATTTTTTAGCCATCAGTTAGAGGTCTCATAACACATGAGCTTTGTTTCCTCAGCTTGCCAGAAGTACCTTTACTGGTTGATGTGCCTTGTTTATCTGCTCAGTTGGATGACTCAATTCTTAACATAGTGAAAGACCACATTTTTAAGCATGGAACAGTAGCATCTCGCCCACCAGTACAGATAGAAGAACTAATAGAGAAACCTGGAGGCATCATTGTACGATGGTGTAAGGTATGTAATTCAGAATTCTAGAAATGGCTTCCACATTATGGGTTTGAGATTTAGGGGCCAGTCAGATGTGTTCATTAACTACTTTTGAATATATTTTTTTCTTCCCAAACAACAATCTTTGACTAAAAGGAAGTCACAGAGAATACTGAGGTAGCTCTTCAAGTTTCATTTTCTTTCTTTTTGTTTTTGAGATGGAGTTTCACTCTTTTGCTCAGGCTGGAGTGAAGTGGCATGATTTCAGCTTACTGCAACCTCTGCGCCCCCTCTTCCCCACTTCCCCTGGGTTCAAGCTATTCTCCTGATTGAGCCTCCTGAGTAGTTGGGATTATAGGCACCTGCCACCACGCCCGGGTAATTTTTCTATTTTTTGTAGAGACGAGGTTTCACCAGTTGGCTAGGCTGGTGTTGAACTCCCGACCTCAGGTGATCCACCTGCCTTGGCCTCACAAAGTGCTAGTATTACAGGCATGAGCCACTGTGCCCAGCTGCTCTTCCAGTTTTAGATAAATGGTTTTGAAAGAACTTTTTAAAGTCTCTGTATTACAACATTGTTTCTCATCACATATTTTCTAGGCTTACCTCAGTGACTTGAGGATTTCTTCCATTTCTACTTATTAGAAAAGCCAAAAGATGATAGTGAATATTGAATGTCTTAATATTTTCGGGACCACGCTCACGCCTTTAATCCCAGCACTTTGGGAGGTTGAGGCAGGTGGGTTGCTTGAGCTCAGGAGTTCAACCAACCTGGGCAACATGGTGAAACTCCATCTCTACCAAAAATACAAAAAAAGTAATTAGCTAGAATAGTGATGTGCATTTGTGAGTCCCAGCTACTTAAGAGACTGAGGTGGGAGGATGGCTTCAGCCCAGGAGGCAGTGGTTACAGTAGACCAAGATCGTGCCACCACACTCCAGCCTGGGCAACAGAGTGAGATGGAATCCATCTCAAAAAAATATTTTTTCTGTTCAACACTGAACTAATACCTTTGAAATAAGATTGCCAAAGTATAGTTTCATTACACACTTAGTATTGCTGAGAGTTTTTTGTGTTAAATTATATTATGAATATGCGTTACTGTATTTTAATAGAAACCATGTCCAAATTAGTCATAGTATTTGGCTGTTGACAAATACATCATTCAGAGATGAGTGCTTGAATCTGAAAACAGTTTTATGTATTTGTTTCCGCCCTGTCTTATGATGCTGATAAAAACTATCTTTCTTTTTCTTGTTTTATCTTTTTAGCTACACAAGATTTTCTTTTTTTTTTCTCTTGAGACAGAGTCCAGGCTGGAGTGCAGTGTCTTGATCTCAGCTCACTGCAATCTCCACCTTCCAGGTTCAAGTGATTCTCCTGCCTCAACCTTCCCAGTACCTGGGATTACAAGCGCCTGTCGCCACCACGTTCAGCTAATTTTTGTATTTTTAGTAGAGACAGGGTTTCACCACGTTGGGTAGGCTGATCTCGAACTCCTGACCTCAAGTGATCCACCAACCTCGGCCTCCCAAAGTGCTGGGACTACAGGTGTGAGCCACTGTGCCTCGCTTTTTCTTTTTTTTTTTTTTGAGATGAGGTCTTGCTCATGATCAGTTGCCCAGGCTGGAGTGCAGTGGTGCTACCTTGGCTCACTGCAACCTCTGCACCATGCCCCACTCCCCACCAGGTTCAGTAGCTAATTCAGCTAATTTTTTTTGTATTTTTAGTCAAGACAGGGTTTTGCCATGTTGGCCTCGAACTCCTATCAGCGGGCCTAGTTACTTCCAGTTTTTTTTCTATAAGTATTTTTACTTGTGTTTCCTTGTGAACATATGTGAAACTTGTAAAATATTAATATTTACCTAGCTGTAAAATTATGAGGTCTTCTTAGAGTATTGGATCCATATGCTAATAGGTAATAACAGACTTTCTGCAAGATGATTGTATCATTTTAGCCTTCCAGGCAGTATGTGAGTTTCTGTTACTCTGTATCTTGACCAATAATTGGCATTGTGAGACTTTATATTTTTGCCTAAATGTGACTTGTTGTGGTTTTATTTATTTGTTTTTGAGACAGGGTCTCATTCTGTCACCCAGGCTGGAGTATAGTGGCACAATCACGTTCACTCCAGCCTTGACCTCCTGGGCTCAAGTGATCCTCCTGCTTCAGCCCCAAGTAACTGAGACTACAGGCATGTGCTTGCACGCACAGCTCATTTTTGTTATTTTTTCTAGAGATGAGGTTTTGCCATGTTGCCCAGGCTGGCCTCGAACTCCTGGGCTTAAGTGTTCCACCTGATTTTGCCTCTCAAAGTGTTAGGATTATAGACATGAGCCACCACTTCTTGCCTTGTTGTGGTTTTTAAGTTGCATTTTCCATATTACAAATTAGGGTGAATATTTATTTATTTATTTTTTTTTTTAATTTTTTATTTTTTTTTTTTTTTTTTTTTTTTTTTTTTTTTTTAATTTTTTTTTTTTTTTTTTTTTGAGACGGAGTTTCGCTCTTGTTACCCAGGCTGGAGCGCAATGGCGCGATCTCGGCTCACCGCAACCTCCGCCTCCTGGGTTCAGGCAATTCTCCTGCCTCAGCCTCCTGAGTAGCTGGGATTACAGGCACGCGCCACCATGCCCAGCTAATTTTTTGTATTTTTAGTAGAGACGGGGTTTCACCATGTTGACCAGGATGGTCTCGATCTCTTGACCTCGTGATCCACCCGCCTTGGCCTCCCACAGTGCTGGGATTACAGGCGTGACCCACCGCGCCCGGCAGGGTGAATATTTATAATGTATATTTTTGGCTATTTATATTTCTTATCCTGTAGAATGCTTATTTATGTCTTTTACCCATTTTTCTATTGGGTGGCTAATTAAATTAACATACAGAATATATGCAGGAGCCCTAAATATTAGTGGGGGTCCTGTATACTATATGTTAATTAACTCTTGGTTATTATGAATGATGTATAGTTGTGGGAAACTTATCATTGAATCTTGAATGTTTTATCTTTGGCATTGATTAGAAAACATGCCATTTCTTCAAAGGAAGCAGACATTTTTATATCAGACGGAGAAATATAGAACACATGATCCAATAAAGAAAAGAAGGGAATCTAGGTGCAGTGGCTCACACTTTGAGAGGCTGAGATGGGAAGATTGCTTGAGCTCAGGAGTTCAAGACCTGAAATATGTTGAAACCCCGTCTCTACAAAAAATTAACTGGACATGGGGATGTGCGCCTGTAGTCCCAGCTACTTGGGTTGAGAGAGGAGGATGGCTTGAACCCGGGAGGTCAAGGCTGCAGTGAGCTGAGATCGCACCACTGCAGTCCAGACTGGGTAACAAAGTGAGACTGTCTCAAAAAAAGAGAAGGAGATAATGATGTGATGGCATATTTCCTGTGGCCTTCTCAAGAATACTCCATATTCAGCATGTGGGCCTGTCTGCCTGGTCCAAAATAGCTCCATTCAAAGTTTTTAAGCAGTGATGCTGAGAGAAGTCATTTTCTGTTTTTTACCTAACATAAAGTTTTTCTCCCTAGGTGGATGACGACTTTACAGCCCAAGATTATAGGCTCCAGTTTCGTAAATCTACTTCAAATCATTTTGAGGATGTATATGTAGGTTCTGAAACTGAATTCATAGTATTGCACATAGACCCCAATGTTGATTATCAGTTCAGAGTCTGCGCCCGAGGAGATGGCCGACAGGAGTGGAGTCCTTGGAGTGTCCCCCAGATAGGTCATTCCACATTGGTGCCTCATGGTATGCTGCTAATCTTTTCTCTCCTGAAGCCTAACTGTATGTTAGAATACTTGAAATCTGTGCTAAGGTCAGGACACTGACAACCAGCTATTTTTTTTTTTTTTTTTTGAGATGGAGTCTCGCTCTTTCGTCAGGCTGGAGTGCAGTGGCATGACCTTGGCTCACTGCAACTTCCACCTCCTGACAACTAGCTATTCTAAGCATAGATCCTGAATTGATAAGAACAACATGCACCATGTCTTTTACACAGATTACTTCATGTGATTTTTGTTTTCATCAGTTCTTACTCCAGAGTCCAAAAAAAAAGAAATGCTGGATGAGATTTTTAACCTCACTAAAAACCAAAGATTGAAAATATTGGCCGGGCGCGGTGGCTCAAGCCTGTAATCCCAGCACTTTGGGAGGCCGAGGCGGGTGGATCACGAGGTCAAGAGATCGAGACCATCCTGGTCAACATGGTGAAACCCCGTCTCT